GTCAAGTCAGGGTTTATCTTATTGTTAAGGAGAGGACATGCACAGAGGAAAGCCATGTGGGATTTAACATACTGTGATGTATTATGTCTGTGCTCTGTACATGCGTGAGATTTAGGGCCAGTTCTCTGTTTACTTTCACTCGTCACACTGTGAAACACTAGCCATGTAGGACAGAACTGTGGAACACACCCAGTCGAGCAGAGAGCAGCTCAACTCTACTTCACCTGAGGACAGAGAGAACAGGCTGATCATACCAGTGAGTCGTAAAACAGGCCTGCAGCCAGAATCCAATCCTCCCTCTGTATGGAGGGTATAATGGCAAAACTATTCTGCTGCACTAGGGTATTACACTCAACTAGGACAGACGTGATACAATCCATGGGTCTTATAAGCTAAATGTTTTATTGTTTCTGTCCAGATTACATAAAAAAAACATCTCACGTCTGCGTGCTCTGACTTTCATTCAAAAAGTGCCTTGCAGTCTAAAATACACTGACCATCAGACCCATTGCATTCTCAGATATTCTTCTCTTAGCAAACAAGTGAGCCACACTGATGCATAATCATGACAACAAAACATTTGAGACATAATGTGAGAAAACATTTTCAATTCCTCGCCGAGGCCGTTCACTGACCTTGCAAAACATGACCACCAACAATAACTTATAACACATGAGGAGGTATCACATTAATTCTAAAACATTGTTCCTGGTATTAGGCTGAGTCTTAACTGATTCAAACTAATTCTGTTTTACACTTGTTTAGATTACAGAAAAACTACTGGACCACAAAACTTGATGGTGTGGGTCAGGAAGGAGCCATGGATCTTGATGAAAAAAAATCTGTAATATAGGGGATTGATATGAGTGTGTGCAAAACTAACAAAAACAATCCAGAGCTCTCTACTGACGGCCCTTCTAGTTAGTATCTGTGTCTGTAATGTGGTTTTGGAGGAGTACACACTTAATTCTGTCATACTTTTACATTAAGAGGCCCTGGATGGTGTTATGTGTTCGTTCTTCACTGAATTGCTCTGCTAATAGCATATTTTAAATGCCCATCCTGTTGACAGTCAAACTGTAAAATACATGAATGCAAGACAGTGGATTTACCAAATGTTTTTGATTGGTTGTTTTTCTGTCAGGAACACTGAAGAGGAAGGAGGAATGATGACGTAATTCACAATACTAAGAATTGCAGGAGGAGTTCAAACCTGGGAATTGCCTCCTCGGTAACAGGCTTGGTAAGTAAATAACGATCACAATGGAGCAGAGCTGTTTGGTAAGAACGGTCATAAATATATCCAGCCCCACAGACTATATATTTCCCGTAGTATGGTTTGAAAACCTAATGCCACTGAGGTAATAAGTGCTCACTCCTTCTACTTGAAAAAAAGGATAAACGAGGAGGAGGATGGCAGAAACAGTGGGAGAGAAGGGAAAGAGAGGGGGATGAGGGAGGAAGAGCAGGTGTGTGTGTGTGTGTCTGTTAGTGTGTGCGCATGTGTACGCATGTGTGTGTGGGTGGCAAAGTGACAGGCGATGATTAGCACAACCAGAGGAGGATATGTGGGAGGGAGTGCGTGGGAGTAGTGGGGCTGGCGTGAGAGAGAGAGAGAAAGAGACTCAGTCTCTTTAGGCAGAGATATACACAAGTGGATTAAAAGAGCACTCATACTGTATAAACATAGAGAAATAACAGGAGGTTTATGCATAGAAATAACACACAATCGTGCACGTACAACAGGGATGAACACACGGGTGCACATATAGTGCATACACAGAGGTTGGGTTCCTGTGGGAACATATTGTATTGTAAAGGAATGGATCAAGCCGCATGAGGATGTGTTGTTTATGAAACAGAAACAGAGGGCATTATTTCACGAGGTAATTTCATCCCCTGTTTTAACCATAATGACTACCTGTGTGTGTGTGTATGTGTGTGTGTGTGTTTGAGAAAGGTAGGAGGAAGAAAAAGGAAATGTAGTGCAGCTGCTGACTCTTAGGTGAGTAGGTGGGACCAATTGCAGCCCATCTATTACTGAGCCTCTATGGAATTAACAGGGTTTTCTAAAGAGGTGCAACAAGGGCTCCAACTCATGCACGTTCGTGTGTGAGCATGCGTTCATACTGATACACGAAAAACAAGTTGGCATTGGTCTTTTTACGATAATCAGCCACTCAACATGACATGAAGCCAAATCTGAAGTGGTAACCTTATTGCTGTATAGTCTCAGTCAGAGCTTTGAAGCTTGTGTTCGCACTCATGTCCATCTTTGTCTCTGGACAACATTGTGAGGCCTGGTTTGTATTAAAATGCAAAGAAGCAAACAACAATCATCAGGACTGAGAGTGAGGGCCTCAGAGACCTGCAAGGTCCAAAGTATACCACTCCTCAATCCTCTTAATGGAGGGGAGTTATTTTTAAAACCTCCATCAATACACATGAGCTAAAGGTGAGTTAAAATGTTGGTGTGGGAAGAAAAAAATTTGAATCAATTTACAGACATCACAAGGAAACATTTTTAAAATATATATTTTAAAAATAATATTTAAAAGCTTAAATTAAATGTACAATATGTCACTGCGTCCAATAGGGGTCTCAAAATTATAACAAAAGACCTAGTTTGATGAAGGCCATAGTTAATGATGTCATGACGCAGCTTGGAATCATGGGATTTGTTGTCTTCAGCACCATTGCCAATGAAAAATCTTCCTGATATGACTGAGGCACAAATCATGTTCACTGATGAGGTAATGTTTAAAGTTTAATTCGAATTACGCAGAAAGCAATAACGCATAATCAGGATCCATAATGAGTGACCGATACAGACAGTGGAAGGAGAAAACAGTCGTTTCACCAGGAAGTTACAGCGGCATTGTAAACAGATGCGTAAAATTGTGGTTTCCTCTGGGTTTGAACATTGTTGAAGACATTTTGGATAATATAAATACAAACGTCAACAAACTATATAATATAGGTCAAGTCGTTTTTAAACATTGTAATGAAGAACTGTTACATAATATATCTTTATATTCACATTAAGCTCAAAACAGTATCTCACATTCATTTGCTATGTGTAAACTAAGCACACAGGCTGTGGGTTGTGTGGTTAACCTCTGGTCCGCTTTTCTTCCCCTCTGTTGATATTTCTGTGCTCTCCTGCCAGTCAGACAGGAAGCTCTGAGTTCAACCCCTGCACACGGTCAGAGGAGGTCAAGGCACTGCAACGACCAGAGGGTGTGGCAAAGTCCAAAAAAACTGCTGGCTGGAAAATAAAACAGCACCCATCCTGCTGTTCCCCCTGGGAACCTTTGTGTTATGCAGGAGAGCTGGTATACGCTGCACAATGAACAACCTGGGATGATACCTTTTAGCTTTTTTTCCTTTTTCAACCTAGGTCTGCACAAAGCCATTCAGTCTGGGCTGTAGCTTGACGAGCGCAGACAAAAAGAGACAGATATAAAGACAGAAGAGATGAGTCGTTTGACCAGGGGAATGAGTCATTTCAAATATCCAGCTTCCTCCAGGCAGGGCTTCTGAAAATGGAATCAATTTTCAGTTCCCTTATTGTGACAAAAGAGCTGAGAACATCGATATACAGCACTTCCACACACATAATACTGTATATGTGCACAGCTTCCAAAACTGACATTTCTATATGTGCCAAAATAACGAGGAGCGAACTCACCTACTGGCACATACGGAAACGTTGGATAATAACTATTCTTTAAAGTAATAGGTCTCCTAACTGTAAGATCCAATGTGTTGTGTATTGGTGCAAAGAAGAGATTAGATCAGCTGTCAGTTATATCATGTATATTTTGCTCTCCTCTCACAACAAGTTCAGCTGAGGGGCGTATGGCTTGAAAGAGCTCGCTACTGTGAGCATGGAGTGCTGTAAAGTCTGGGATCAATGAAAAAGGGCTGCAAGAGGGAGAGATTGATAGAGAGAGAGATTGATATATATATATATATATATATATATAGAGAGAGAGAGAGAGAGAGAGAGAGAGAGAGAGGGCTGCTTGCTGAATAAAACATCCTGGGAGAACTTTCATGTTAGTCTCTGTCGGCTGGGCTGGAGGAAACCCAAACTGGATCGCAGCTCCATCGCAACAAAGGCTCCTTCAAATCAACAGCTACTTCCACATATATCAAGCAGTCGAAAGCACAATCAGAGCGAAGGGAATCTCTTCAAACAGGGGGTGATTTCCCATGGGCTGGTCACAGCAAATACAGATACACTCTCCAGCTCCCATCACCTAGGAAACTACTCACTATGAGAGGATCAGGTGTTGTATCTCCAATTGACCTTATTATTTGTAGACAGACAGACAGACAGACAGACAGACACACACACACACACACACACACACACACACACACCTAATTGACATGACATGCCCACATCACATAAGGTGCAACACATCTGACATCTGCTATTCTGATGCACTTTTCAGAATAAATACATATCGCCCTAGAAACACATCAGATTGGCAAACTCCAATAACAGCCGTATTAAAAAGGCTTTTCTAAAACCTAATCCTCATTTCAGATGACGAGTTGCAATCGTCTATACTGTTGTAAATAAATGATATTCTGCTCCCGCCTCACCGTGTACCAACAGAGCTGAGCTCACATCTCATCATCCTCACCCATGTCTATTCTCTGATGACATTTCTCCGACAAAAGAAAGTTATTTCCTCCAAGACACAATCTAACAACCCATCTAAAATGGTTCAGTAAAAATTCTAATTAAAAAAAGAAAAATGCACCTCATGCATAAGCCCACGCACTCACTCTGAATGGCATTTGGCTTCTGCTGCCACATATTTTAACACAGAAAGTTAAGACGTGTGCGTGTATGGAGCCGTACAAAGGACTGATGGTGCTGCTGAAGGTCAGTGTGACCGAGGCCAGAGCCAAGACAGGAAAAGAGAGAAAAATCCCAAAAAATAAAAGAAAATGGAGGTTATAAGGTATATGTAAGCACTTACCCAAATCTTTGGATCCTTGACTCTCACTGGCCAGTTCACCCATTCTGACCAGAGCATCAAAGTAGCCTTTGGCAGCAAATGTCACATCTACAAGCAAAGAGAAGCAAGAAGAACAGTTTTGTTAATTGGGGCAAAGGTTACAGAAACAGTGTCCATTATGCAGTTAAGATTTGTGTAAACTCCATTGACAGTTTTCTGGCCAGTGATGCTTGAACATGCTCACTCCTCTTCTTTCACAGCTTCTCACCACACAATAGAAATTAAAGGAAGCAGTAATGTTTCCACATTCAGTAATTACTCAACATCATCTCGTTGTGCATGCTTGATTGCGACAAGGAAACTATTTTTTTGACAGAATCTGTACCTGCTGGGGAAGCAACCAATATAAGTGGTTTACTGTTATGTTTTGTTTCAGGCCCATTGTCAAAATGAGAAGAAAATTTGGTTTATTGTCACCCTGAAGGTTTATTTGTTTATTAAGTTTTGTATTTAGATAATTATTTAGGATTACAATTTAGTGAGACATGATTCATTGTTGCTCAAAACAGATGAAAAGTGGAAACATTTACTTTGCTTGGTAAATATTTGAACAGCTTGTCTATTTGTGACACATCTGTGCCACAGATTGCTGTAAGTCTCCCCAGACCTCATGCTTGGGTGTATTGTGTAATAGCTGGTGTTTGAATGGATGGCAGTGTGTGGTCCCACCGAGGAAACAGCAATGTCATGGTGTTAATCACTACTGGCCTTTTCTGTACACCATTCCATTTCATCTTTTCTGTCGATATGTCTGAGCCCTTTCCAGCAAACAATGGCTTCAACCTGTTGGGCTGCCGGTCCGCATCACTGGATTCTTTGGTTTATGTGGCTGCCAGAACTTCCAATTCCTGAATCGGAAATGCCCCAGATTTCGCAGAAAAAGCCAGGCATTGGTGAGTACAGGACTCTATAGCTGTGTCCTAATTCAGGGGCTGCTTTCTTCAGAGGAGGCGGCCTACCCAGCCTACGAAGGAAGCAGCCCTTCGAGGGCCACGTAGACCGCACAGGCCAAACTGAAAATAGATGGTCTGGTCCACAGAGGCTATCCGTAATCTTCGTCACCAACTCGTCCTCCCGTTTTTGCTGTTGCGAGGGAACAGAGCTGAGGTCGGACACAACTAGAAGGTTTTAATGCCACTTGATTTTTTAACATGTACCACTGGCTGTTCAGTTGAGTTGAAGTGTGATACTCGTGCACTGGATGTCTAGTCCATTACCTCTCTGAGCACAATGAATCTTGGGATAGCTTGGGCCGGGCATTTGAAGGAGCCTTTAAAATGGGACAGCCTAGTCATGTCCCTGTGATGCAATCGATCTTCAAATGCTGAAGGATGCAGCTCCTGGATTGAGATACAGCTTGTGTACTTATCTGTTACCATGGCTTTAAAATATTTTAGTTTAACATCGATACAACTTCAATTTTCTTTTTCGGGTAATCACTTATTGTTTGCCGCGCTTAAACATTAGTTGTGCTGCACTGGCATTAGAAATTACAATTTTTAGAGTGGCGAAGAAGAAGTGATTTCTGGAAGGGTAGTGTAAGCCTTGGCTAGCTAAAAAAGAATAGCTGTTGTGTATTCCTAGATTTATTTACATGTGTTCTTTTCAATTATTACTGTCTAGGTAGATAATGAAAGAAGTACTATGGCTTTCATTTCGTGTATGTATTCGTTTTTTTTTTTGGGTTTCACCTAAGTCAGGCCACACAACAATAACAGTCATTAACTCCATATAGGGTTAGGAGTGTAGATCTGTTGAGATACATTATATAAGTTATTCATCAGAACCTCTCTACAGACTCTTCGTCTCTACTTTTTGTCAGAGGAGGTAAGTACATTACCCTTCCCTCTAGCATTGATTAAAGGTAAATGACCTGACTGCTCAAAGCTATAAACTGATTTAGTCAATGGTCATTAAAACAAAAAGGCATAAATGCATGTACAGATTTGTGCATACACACATACACCAATGTACACAAAACGTTTGGCCTTTACCCTTGATCTGTAGCATACAGACAAACAATCAGTGAGGTTAATCTAATCACAAGCAATATCTGCTCTCCTCTGTCACCGACTCAAAAGATCAAGAGTGCTCCTAGTTTCTGAGATCAATAACCACCTCCGCCCCATTATTCTGACTGCTGCAGCGCAGGCCACCAAAGGTCAAACAAGACAGGAGTCTGCTTTCAGTGATTTCAGCCTTACTGCCATACAGACTGCCAATCAGTCCATCTCCAGTGAATAATGGTCGTTGTTTTTTTGGAGGTGAATTCAACAGCAGTCAAGGTAACAGATGGGCCCTGTGCCTGCAGACAGCTGCCAGGTGAGAGACACATTTACAACAATAGCCTGGCAGGGGCAGGCTAATTCTAGAAGACAGATGTAGCCCTGCGATAGAGGAAGTCTCCCAGGCTGGGAGCCTCGCAGCTCTGCTCCAAGACTGAGGGACATATGCTAATGCTAATCCCAATTACAGCTGAGTCAACAGCAGACTAGGCGTGCATTCACATCTTCTCTTGATGGGGTAACACCTGAGAACTGAGAGCAGAGCCCCCCCCCTCCTAAAAACACAATGGCTGATTTCTCCTCATTATGCCAAACAGACCTCCTGCCACGCTTGACGTTAAAGTGTTTCTGAATGTGTGTGGGTATGACTGTAAATGCAAGTTTGTGCAAGCGGGAAGATGGGAGCTCCAGCAGATGTACAAAGAGATCGCCAAGCAACGGACACTTCCTTCTTGCTGATGCTGCTTTTGTAGCATGAGTGTGTGTATGTGCAGTCGAAGGCTGAGTAGATAAGCTGGATCGGTACAGATACTTAACTTTTATCTAATGAAATGTGTGGTGAGGGGCTCACAGCAACAGACGGAGAGGATTACCAGATCTCTGATTGCAAGGCAGACAGACAACCTGTAGGGGAGTGGCTCATCTCAGAGCTACTGATCCATCACTCATCCTCACTCCGGAGCAACAACTCGTCTCTCAATTGGGACAACCATTGTTTTTCGTGTACCTGCCTCATCCTCCTAACGTCGCTTGTACAATTAGCTCATGTTGGTGAGGGGGTTGAAGTCCTTCAGTTGTATGCATCTGTTGCTTTAACACTTACCAAGTGCTGTGAGATTAAGCAACTCACTGCTGTGTTGAAAAAGCTGAAGCGTTCCCATTCCCACACCTCGAAAGCCTACCCATGAAGCGCTTTTTGGCATTTCTGGTGTTGAATAATTTCAGTGATTGCACCATATGGGTGGAAGCGTGTCCTGCCATCCCCTGCCCCCGCAAATCAGAGCCTCTTAGTCCCTTGGGTCGAGCCAATCCTGCAAAGTGGGTTTTTAATGGCTCAGTGACTCCCTACCAGTCTGTCTCTTACCCACACCAAGGCCAGGATTAGTTTTTGTTTGTGTCAGGAGAAAAAAGCACAGGCTTGGGGAGGGGGGAGAAGTTCCACAAATTGTCAGATTAGTTGGACTGCAGGGGTTCTGCCTTGGGTTAAAATTGAGGGGCTTATTAGGGGGAAGGTTTTGGAAGACTGTTACAAGTTATCCATACATTCACACATTCATCATCCACACTTTTGCATCAGATTAGAAGCTCTTGTTTCTCTGAATATACCTCCCATAGAAGCTGTACCCACCACAGGATAAGACCTGCACATTTGGCAGAAGGCTAAATATTGTCCTTCTTTGGTCAGACAAATGGTAAGATAGATAGATACATACAAGGAGAAGGAGAGAGTGCTGCCTTGGCTTTGTGCCTGAACCTGCAGCGAAACAGGGAGCACAGAGAAAATAAATGAGGGAAAAAAGTACTTACTGGCGAGGGCCTTCTCATAGTTCTTCCCCATGGCAACAAAGTTCCGTAAGCAGGGGTTGAACTGCTCCATGATGGTCTGAAAGAAAAACACAAGAGATGGATGGGAGGTGAAGGTTTCACTTATCAGCAGAGCGTGGTCAAGGGCAGGGAAGAAAGACTCGCACCCCGCTTTATTCATGTCTGTCCGTCTTACATTTCCTGCCTCTCTCTCTCTCTCTCTCTCTCTGACATACAAAAACCTCCCTCCACTGCAGAAAATATGTTTCACACAAAACAGCCATCGACAGAATCTTTGGACACACTCGTCTTGAATGTTAATGGAGGGCAGAATGAGGGTTTCTCCACCCACATCCTGCCCTCTGATGGTGAGAAATAGTTCAGGTGGGAGGGGGCAGGAGAGGCTGGTGGTTGATGGTGGCGTTGGAGGAGTGGGTAGATGAATTTGTGGCCTCGAAACAGAGAGATGGCAATATTTGTCTTGACAGGGATGCATATACTTTAGTTTCAAAGGAGCATAAAATGATGGGCACACATTATAGCCAGTAATGAGAAGAACAGTGACTATAAGATATGATGCTAATGGATACTGATGCTGAAACTACATACTCGAGCCTACATCTGTTACCTCTAATGGAACTGAGGCATGTAAATAGTACAAATATAGATTTGCAGTCTCATACTACACTGCAGGCTGAGTCAGTCTAAATGCAGAGAATGCAGGATGCCTGACATCTCGCAGCCCCATCATTTCCTCTACTTCTCATCCACCTTCTCATCTCTTTCCTCCTCCTGTGCTCCTCCAGGGCTTCCTCCAATTAACCGATCCCCAGTCAGCGACTCAGGAACAGCCAGGGGGACAGAGAGACAACACGCACACAACACTGCTGCAGCAGCAGTCCCCACACAGGCCGTCGATACTGCAGAAGAACACTTAATAATCTACTTCTTGCCTGAATCCACATTGTGGCAGAAATTATATGGCACAGTGCCACCGGCGTCAACCTAAAACAACCCCAGCCGTTCCTGAAAATCCTGTACCTCGTACTTTCAGCCAGACCTCAGCATTTTTACTTTTGCCTTCATTGCACTGTCTGTCTTTTGTTTTTTTTCATGAGAGCCAAGATTTGGATAGGACTGCACACATGTGTATGTGAAGGTGTGTGTGCCTGCTGTGGTGTGTGTATTCCGTCAGTATTAGCAGTTCAAGTGGCTCGAGTGCAGCACAGCCCACCTACAGTAGACATACCGGTGAGTCAGACACAAACCACTAATACTTTCATTACCATCAGTAAAAATTTTACTACGCCTCTCCATGACTGAGCTTACATCTCAAGCCAGGACAATGAACAAAAAGCAGTCAGTCATCTCCAAATACAACAGTAACCAATGGACCTTTCATTTATAGTTTGTAATTAGATTAGTTCACTTGAGCTGACGGTCTGTTATTCAAGAGTAATATTCATGTGTCTTAGACAAGGGATTGTTTTTAAAATAAGCAATTCGTTTTATTACCAATTACCACAACTATTCATTTTCTGATTGTTTTGTCAATAAAATGTGAAAAAAATGATGATGAATATTTGTTAAAATTTCATGTGACTGTCAATATATATATATATATATATATATATATATATATATATGTCCGTCAATATTTTACAAAGAACAGAATCAGATCATTGAGGAACTGGAACCAGTCAAGTTGCCATCGTAGCCAGTGCACATCTGATTGTTTATATTATACAATGACAGAGAAACCGTCTTTGAGACAAATTTATTTAACTTTCAGTCCAAGCTCCATCCAGTAACATGGAGGAGGCAGGATTTATGACCTAGGACCTATGGCAGCCAGGCACCAGATGACGATCAGGACGCTTTGGCTTCACTTTGGGGGGAGTTGTCATTTAGTCTTTTATGGTTTCTACCTTTGCTGCAAATAAACCTGTGCAAATGATTGTGTTACTTAACTGGCTAAACTCAAAGTTAACTATCCTCCCTGTTTGGTTCTACTGCTCTTTCATCTGGATCTTATCCTTGAGCAAAATGTGTGTTCACAGCCGTTCCACTGCACACCGGCTCAGCAGCTCTAAGGAACATAGCAAGGTTTTATAGAGAAACATTTTTAAGTTGTTCCTGCAGGGGGAAAATGTTCTAAAAAAAAATTGAAATTTTTTTATTTACAGAGGACATCATGTCACTGTGTTGTTTTTGTAAGATCATTTCAATGTTACCAAAAAGCAATGGCAGACTGAGCATTATAAACTCATTTAACAGCAACTCATGTTTAAAGCGGCTGCCTTTATTTACCATCTGGCTGTGTTAGTCTAATAGGCTGGAAGCGTAATTGGAGGAGAGTCCCATTTTCAGGCAAACAGCGCAGCTCGTATAAAAGGTATCCCCGCTCTCTCTGTCTCTGGAAAGATAAAAGACTAACTCATCCCCGAGGACCTCTCTCAGAAAATGTTTATTCCTAAATGTTCCTTCGCTCGCTCTGCCTGATTCTGATGTAAAGCGCATCGCATTGATGATGATAAGGTCACATGATACGTGTGCATCGTGCATCACAAACACACATTCACCCGTGTGTGTGTGTGTGTGTGTGTGTGTGTGTGTGTGTGTGTGTGTGTGTGTGTGTAACCACAGCTACATTAACTGGAGGCTTCTAATAAAGAGTGATGGTGTTTCAAAGTGGTGGGAGGATTACATAAAGCAAAGCCCAGTGCAGCATCATTACAGAACACTCACCCACTGAGGAGGCCAAAGGTATCTGACACAGGTCTTCCTTACATGTGCACATGGTGAAACAACTTCACATAGGAGAATCAGATGATTAGCCACGGTACTGTTATTATTATACAGGTTTTCTCATAAATGTTGCATTTTAAATGCCGTGCATCTAAGGCAAAGTAAAAAAAAACACGTAGTAGTTTCTGTCTTCCTCTCTTCCCATTGTTGCTATATTTGTCATCCCAGTTCTCTTGTACTACATTGTTATCCTAATTGTGGCAGCTAATTGGGAAATGGCGCCAGGAGGCACTTGAAGTTGTGTGACATGGAGAGAGTGAGAAAGAGAGAAAGAAAAAAGAGAGATCAATTGATTGAGTAGACAAGTGTGAGGATGTAATATTTACGAACAAAAGGTATGTTATCACGTACTGTATGTCCCTTCTCATTCAAACACTCTCTGAATAATCTTTCAATTAGAGACTTATTAAAAAAGGAAATATGTCACGGCTGAGGTGAAATCTTTTCCTAAGGAGAGACGGGGAGGCAGTCCATTTTGTGACTGAATTAATTCATTATTTGCACACGGGGCGTAATTTAAAGCAGACAATTAAAGGAGGGCAGGAAAATTTCTCCAACAGAATGAATCAAATCTGTTTGACACTCATTTGTGCTGTGAGCTTGGACAGGAAGAATATGGAGAAGCCGGGAGCACGAGCAGAGAGGCAGCAGATAAGGGAAAATATTATTAAATTCGATTAAAAATGTTATGTGCCCTGACCAGGCTTCTCCTCAGCATTGCAGCAGCAATTGAAACAAGGTCGGAGTAAATTAAATAAGTTGTCGGTTAAAAATATGGGATATTCATCCATCTCTGCCTGCTCTGTTCACTTCTAACACCTACACACACACAAACACAGTAATGACATGCATAAAGGGGGTAATTTCAAAGTACCACCAGCTGATTAGAGCCAGAAGGAATCACGCACAATCAGGAGCCAGGATGCCATCATCTGCTCCCTCTCACCCTCCTCGCGCTCCCTTCTCCCGATTTCCCTCTACTACATGGCAACCAGCTGCAGGCCTCCAATGCCCAGGATCAGGAGCACTGACGCCACCAATTACTGTATTTGCGTGGACTGTGTTAGGACATGTCATGTGGTGACAGGCAGCAGAGCCAGCCAAGAGGAGCATTGCAATCAGAGAGGAATGTAAAAGAAAGTGGATAGTGTGCGAATGGACTAATGACAACCATACAGTTAGACCTTTCTTCCTTAATAAGGAGCACTATGTGTAAATTATGACCTTTTACTGGTTGACTCCACAGATCGACGAGGAACACTGGACCGAGACGGGACACGTCAGGATCTGGGTGTTTCACCATCTCAGCTAAACTCTCCAGGGATTATTGTTGGTGAGCTGACATGACAGAAATGGGCTTGAACTTGCCAGAGAGAAAACTGAAATATCATGTTTTGATATCAATGTGATCCTTCAAGAAAACACTAGTAGAATTACCGCCCAGCTGTCGACCATAGCACGTAGTCATATATTTTTTGGTGCAATCTTCATCTTTGGCTCCAACTGAAAGCAGAATTGAGATATGCTGTTCAAAAGGTCCAACACCTTGTGAGCCACCAGGACCTTTACGTTTGACCTCTGACCGCCAAGAAATTCCCTAAATCGTTCCTTAGATATCCTGTTCACAAAACAAAAATTTGCTTTGTGAGGTCATACAGCACAGCCGAAAATGCAGCAAATGCTTGAACAAACCACAGTGTGGATAGTGAGCCCACACATCGTCTAAGGAAGTCTGAACATCGTGAACATATAAAGTAATCACTGCAAACAGAGGTTTGGAGGGTTGTAGTCAAGATCATGTTGAAAGGGTCAGAATCAAGAAATTATACATGGTGAAACCAAACAAACATTGGAATATAGGCGTAAACTTACACGTCAATTATACGTGGCAGTTTGTTGAGATATGTGTGGGTATTTTTCGAAGGCCTGTGAAACATTATATTTGTTTATTTCTCTTGGCCTCGGTTCTTATCCCAAGTGAGTCAATTTGGTACCAAGACTGGTCACAGCTCATCACAAACAGAATGTCGGACTTGTTTGCTTTTATTGGAAAGAAAACAGCCTTTTGTGAAAAGTTACATTCCTAATCCTATTCCATTTAAGCAGAAGAATGCCAGATTTTTTTAAAGACAAGCCAATGACTTGACTTCTACCATTTTCTCATAAGGGATAGATAGGCATAGATTTGGTCAGCTAACTTCACAAGCTTATTTCAAGAGACAGGTATACACTTTGAGTGGATACCACGAAGAAGTTTGTGCTTCCTGCATA